GTGTGTGTGTGTGTGTGTGTGTGTAATGTACTGTATGTAATGTATGTATCCAGCTGGTCAGGCCTCAGTGATGTGAAAAACACCTGTGAAGTGCAAATTACTTATTTTAAGCCACTGTTAGTCATTTAAATTAGTTATATATTTTCAACTTCCATAACTATAAAATTCAAAATTTCCTCAGCTTTATTTTGAATCATAGTTTGTTAAAATTGAGCAAGAAATAAGAAATTTGTAGGAATTTTTCATCAGGATGGCACCTCACAGTCTGTTGACATCCATTCATTTTGTTGAGGCTCCTCAATGCATAACAGAGCTCCAGTGTGTGCACGTCCATGTAAATATCAATGTGCTAGCCACGCCCAATCAAGTAATATCAATGTACACGATGGCTATCACTGGGGGATAGCAGCGGGAGAGCACATGGAAGTTGCGCAAATTTTTGTCACTCAGCAGGGGGAACAAGAAGTGCGACTCGATATATAAACCAGCCTTCAATGATGCTCGTTTTTCTGATCATATCAAGTTACAGCTTTGGTTAGTTACTAAATGCTACAGAGCTAACCAACATTAGCAGTGTCAGGCAGGCACTAATGTCTCCTTTAAATAAACTACGAAAGCCTCTTTTTAACTTCCAAAACAAACATTTCTGTTTCAAGCTAAAAGGAGCAGCCAATAAACAACCACAGGATGTCTCAGTGCTAACAGCAGGATGAAGAAGTTTCCTTCCTTTAACTTTTTTAAAATTCTGTCTTTACGATGTCCTGTCAGATGATCCTGTGCAACCTCTTCTGTTCTGTCTCTTCATTTATTTTTTAATGTTGCACCCATCTCTCTTTTTCCCTGTATCAGCTTCCAGTCATTGTCCTGCCTCACAGCCTCGCCTCAGGCCCAGCTTGTAGTTTTCAGTCCGTTCACTCTTTGTGGAAGAAGAGGGGGATGATGAGAAGAGGTGAATGTTGGGCCTCAAGGCCTGGCTGCCAAGAGGTGCAGAAGAAAAAGAAAAGAAGAATTTGAAGAGGGAGCAGACCTTACACTCATCTGTGTCTGAGTTTTGGCAAATGACAGTCTAATGACCCGAGATGACCTGACTGAGAGGTCAACATGATAAAATGGATGAAACTCAAAAGAGAAGGAAACAAAATCCAGATCTATAGGAGCTGCCTGCAGTTCCACTCACTAAGCTGGAAAACTAAAGTATTCCTTAAAGCCATCACTACAACCTCAGGTGACTTGGGACAAAAAACTGACCACCAGGGACTTTGGGTCTTAACCTGCCCCCTCTCTTTGGTTCTTTGTGCCATTTTTTTCTCCAGAATGGATTTGTGTCTTTTTAAGGTATTGTACAGTTTATTTTGATTGTACTAACTATCTGGCTGGGTGTGATTTGTGCTTGAGTGTAAAAGGAATGTAAATAAGGGAATAGTTTCTCATCACCTGTAACCAGGATGTGAGAGGACAATAAGGACTGGGTATTAGTTTTGACCTAAAGGGAATGAAAACATTTGTCTTTGTTTTTATTGTCCTAAAAATATTTTTCTAATGAAGTCTAGATGAATCCTACATTTCTCATCAATGATTCAGGAGTATTTGCTGGGTTAGCTTTGGCATTAGGATTGGAAGTCAGTATAATGTCCTACTGAGAAAGGCTGAAACAAGTTGTGTGTGGTTCCTAAAGATCTAACAGGGGAATTCTTACAGTTTGTACTGAGTTCGTATCTTTCAGCCAATTCTTTTATGAAGCAAAAGTGATGCAACAGTTTCCTTCCCTGCACAGCTGGGTATTGTTGCTGATGATCAAAAGCCTGCTCCTCTCCCTTTCCATTAACTGCCTTTCTTTTTTCTCCTCTGTTTCAGTCTGTCTCAGTTCCTTCTCCTTTCTCACTGAATTCATTTATCCCTTTCATCATTCCCACCCTCTCATTCCCAAACCTTCCCACCTCCCTCAGTAATGGGAATCTCCCTGTAGTATAATATTGTCAGACTTTGATCAAACCCTGGTGTTCGTACTTATTATGTTTTCTCAGACTTCCGTGTGCTCTCACTAATACTCTGTGGACTTAATGAGTACTATGGGGTGTTTCTGATCAAGTGCTCCATACAAATAGCACATGATCAAGCAGGCAGAGACTCAGGCTGAGCACAGAGTCTGCATTAAAATAGTGATGCAAGAAAAACTGCTGACTTTTCTTTGAAAAAGACAATTAGGGCTCAGCTGAAGCAATAAGAAAGACGGAGCTGTAACGTCATCACTTTCTCCAGCTGTTTGTTGCTGTCCTCTTTAGTGTGTGTGTGTGAATTCTTACGTTAGTATTATTGGGTATTTTGGAAAGGAGAGAGTTGCTCCAAGTTTACATCAACTTTTCATTTAATCATGTTTGTCCGGCTACAGCTGATTCTGCAGTGCAGCCATTATTAAGTTTATAAGTGAATAATACAGTTTATTACTTGACATTTATCCCTCCAAAATATACCAGCTTAGATAAGCTTTAGTGTATCAGTGTTTTCTAACTTCAAATTTTATATCCAGTGGGGCATAGTTAACCTAATAAATGTCTCAACAAAGACATTTTTAGGAAACAAAATGTAATTATTTTAAATTTGACAGCAGCAACACAT